GCACTCCGGCTGTGCTGACCCCTGCGAATTTCCCAAATGTGGAAATCTCGATTGCATAATTTCTGGTAGTGGGGGACTGCGTTCGCGCTCTCCCCTGATGTCTTGTTTAATGATAAACTGTTGCTTGAGATTGTTGTGCATTAACTGACCTTGTGCTGCGCTTATGGATTTCATTGAAATCAGCTGTGAAATAGACTTGGTGGGCAAATGTTACACATAATCAAAAGGTGGAAGTATTTGTTTTAGCAAAGCATTGTTATCATTTTGTGGAAACTTTATTTTGTGAAATGCAACAAGCTATATATGCCGCGCTGAAACTTCAACAAGAGAAAGTGGTGATTATTTCAACAGTGCTGCATGATGGGAAACTAGCGGTTCATTTATATAATCTAGTAAAGAAAATAAACAACTTTTCCACCGCTCTGTCTGCAATTGCAATCCTAAACGGCATTTAACGCAGGTCGATATGATGTGATATTATCAGAACACAAAGTGGTTACCGTCAGCCGAAAAGGTTGGCACTGAAAGACCTGCCCTCCACCGACGTGTACAACTCATACTTACCTGGCAAGGGAGATACCGTGATCAAGAAGGCGGTTCACCCAGGGCGAGGCTCAGCCATTGCACTCCGGCTGTGCTGACCCCTGCGAATTTCCCAAATGTGGAAATCTCGATTGCATAATTTCTGGTAGTGGGGGACTGCGTTCGCGCTCTCCCCTGATGTCTTGTTTAATGATAAACTGTTGCTTGAGATTGTTGTGCATTAAGACTGACCTGTGTGCTGTCGGCTGTAATAATTAAAGATCGAGTTTAAAGTGACTTTTTTTATAGTTATTGGACGACTGGAGAAATTGGTTACCGGGTGAGAAAGGGGAAGACAAAAGCCGAAGGTTTGGCGGAACTGTCAGATACCATGGACACCCACCATGACGGTGAGAACACACTCATACGTGGTACCTGGCAAGTGAGATACTGTGATCAATAGGCGGTTTGCACCGGGCGAGCTGCACAGGCCTTTGGTGAGCTCTTGCTATGCTGACTCATGCGAAGTTCCAAAAATTTGCAATCTTGATTCGATAAAAATTGTCTGAATGTGGGGACTGCTTGCGCGCTCTCCCCTGATGTCTTGTTTTATATGATATACTATTGTGCTTGAGATGATGTTTGTTTGTCACTGACCTGTGGGTGCCGCGCTAATAAACAAATGGGAACCATATCTTGCAATCAGGTTCGTTAGAATTGACTTTGTGAGCTAAATTTGAACAAATCAATCAAAAGATGGAAAAACTGTTGTTTTAGCAAAGCATTGTTCCGTTTGTGGACCAGTCATTATGTGTGAAATGCAGGCAATCTATATCTGGCCGACAAAAAAGAAAAGGGCGTCGCGAACTTCATCAAGAGATAGAGGGAATCTGCTACTTACCACTCCCACCGGGGGGAACGTACTTTTGAACGTGGATTGAACCGCTTCTGGGTCTACCAAAAAAAGACTCTTATTGGAAAAAGGAAGAATCGAAGTGTGATGGCAGCTATGTGGGCAACAAAAACAGAACGGTGTAATGTGGCATAGAGTTAGTTGGACAATGCGTAAACTAGAGGTAAATACATGAGCACAACTTAGCACTTGTCTCATCAAAAACATTGTTACAGTTGTTGGTTTGCTAGCTAGATAATTTTAGCAAGTCTTCTCAATTGGATATGACCTCTGGCATCAAAACAAGCAAATGGTATCGTTAAACGAGTATTAACTGAGCTGAAAATTAGTCATGAGTCCCCACAAATCGCAGGTTCTTGTACATTGTTCCTAAAAAGGCATTTACTATCGCACCATATCACGACCTGTTTCGGACATTGGTCAGCTAACCCAATCTATACTTCTCATGTTACACACTGCCCCACCCCCCAGCGCTTTACCCGACAATTAACCATATGATAACACTCGGATTGTTTATTCACGTCTGTGGTCTGTTTGATAAATTTCAAAGACATTTATAAAATGTGGGTGACCCTCCTCTCCAAACAGGTTGGTAGGGTACCCAAATTGTTATTGTCGTGTAGCATCCATGTGGAGTCAGAAGTGTGAGTGTCTAGCTAGGACACCAAAGTAATGGCTGGCCTTGTGTCTCAGAGAGCTACCTCCTGGTATGAGGTCTGCTTTGAACTTTGATACTACTGAATTTCTTTAGCTCCAAGATCCTGTAGGGGCAGACATACCCCCCCCCCCACACAAACACCCACAGCAAACATAGTATTCCAAGAAAGCAGCGTAGTATGTGTCACCTTAAAGTTATAGACATTAACTGATGAAGCAGCAGACTGTTTGGGTTAGGGAAACAGTGAAACAAATTTTTGAATTAAATGCATCCATGAAGTAGAGCAGGGCTTCTGCTCTCACCACCAGCTGATTGTGGTTTGGCTGATAGCTGAGGCTCCAGCCTGGGAGCCGCCTCTCTGCCACCAGAGACGTCTATCTGAAGATGGCCGCAAACTCTCTCTTCATGACCGACATCGGCTGGAAGCCTTGGAATGAGCATAGCACTTGCGGCACACCCATGTATGTAAGATCAAGTTGCCTAACTCACTGCAAAACGGTTTATGGGCAACTCGTGCCCTGAGGGCAGGTTTTGTTCGCAGACCAGCTTTAACCAACCGGTGGTTCAAATATGTGTTAAAATTGTATAAGAATTGAAGACCATCATTGGCTCAATTAGATTCCATAGCGCTGAAGACCAAAACTATGCAACAGCACAACAGAATTTAAAGGCACATGTTCCCGAAAAAAACAAAAAGGAGAGCGTTCCGGAGACTTGTGCATTCACACTGTAACGCTTGCATATGTCGTGCATCCATCGGAAATCATCTTTACTTTAAATCGTCGACGTACTAATGACGTATCTATCAGCGTGGCTGACGGATTGAATCATCGTAGCGTTAGCCCCATGATAGTTGAGATGCGGGTGTGTCAGTGCTGTGGTCTGTAGGGCTCCCCAACCGCGCTTATTGGGACAAGTATTGCTGAGTGGCGTGGGACATCCTGTTTCACATAAAGAAGATTAACTGGAACTGCCTCCTTAACCAATCGAGATAGGGGAGATCTCGCACTGGGCTGTTCTAAGACCCCTGACCCTACCGTCCCTATGAGGGTTTCTCCGCTCATTCTATGTCTACTGGCTGCCCTGGATGAGGAAGCATCAACCCACATTATCCAGATAGCCTGGAAAACCATGACATCTTTCATCACATTGAAAATCACATTACAATGAAAAAAAATTAGAACATCTCCTAAAATAGGACTTGGAATATAGCATAGGTCAACTATGTGACAGTTGATATATGTGCTAAACAGGATGTATGGTGGCATCTTAGGTATTCTCCCCTCAGCAGCTTCCTGTGAATGTATTAAATTACTTCGGCAGCTGTGGGATAGGTTCTGGCAGGTGCTCTATGTTAGCTGGATAATAATCTCTGCCCCTAGATAAATAAACAGAAGACATTAGACACCGGTCTATGTGGCACATGAGAGAACTGTGGACAGGTGTCAAATTTTTACATGGTGAATCAAGCTGAGATTTATGAGCACAGTCCCTTTAAAAGTGTGGCGCCTACTAGCATCAGCTCGTTACCTGTATATAAGACACCTGGAGCCAGAAACATCTTTCTAGATTGAGCGGAGGGTCAAAATACTTATTTCCGTCATTAAAATGCACATCAATTTATACATTTTGACCTGCATGTGTCCTGGATTTTGTTGTGTTATTCTGTCTCTCGACTGTTCAAATAAACCTACCATTAAAACTATAGACCTGATCATGTCGTTGATCGGAGTGGGCAAAAACGTACAAAATCTTATATTATAATTTTTGTTCAGTACATATATATAACGCCCATTTTGCGATCATCATCTTCAGTCCTGGCTTGTGTATCACCACAGAGGAGTAAAAGACTTACGCATAAAAATAAAAAAAAATACACAAATTGACAAACCAAATCAAATATTTTTAAAATTGGTTTTATATAATCGTAATCAAAGACACTGCTGGGAATCTTCATCTCGGACTCCAAAGCACGTCATATACAAATAGCAGCTGGCTTATTAAAAAGTTTGTCACAAAATTTTTACAGTGTGTCAAAGAAAGGAAAGAAAAAAAAAGTGAAAGGAAAAAAGGGGAGGGAAGATTGCCCCGCCGTTGGAACTAGTGAAGGGACTAGTTTGACATCAATGGAGATAAGACATTTAATAGTGTACCTAAGATAGAAAACGGCCCAGTACAAACACAGTATTGAATATCTTGCGTTACGAAAAAAAAACGATGTGATTCACGCTCTAGCAAAATTCCTAGCTCATCCAGTCTGGCTTATTGCCGTTTCAATGGCTGAAATATACAACCATGTGCATCTTAGGTAACACCTATAGTCTTAATTTGTGAATCCTTTGAGAAGAAGTGCAATCTGATGAAAAAAATAAAATATTTTGTGAAGTCTTCGGTTTAAACAATGAATACGTGTCTCTCTTCAAGATAACACTCACAACACCCATGCAGTGTTCGCTAACCTTTATTTGGGTCCATTCATGTGAGTTCTTTATCAAAATAAAACTGCATGGTTCTGCAAATTCTGGCTCCACTTGTTTTGACAAAAATAAAAAAAACAAACATGTAAACATCATTTTAGGTCAGGTGGCTGAGGCAGAGGAATAGGTTGCAAAATAATAAGAGGAAATCCAGTGGGACAACGTCATCAATCCGTTCAGACAGACCCAGAATCCAGAAATGACCTTTCCCTTCCAGAAGGAAACTATTTAGTCGTGATTCCGGTTCTGATCCGTTGCCGTTTCCGGCTGGGAGGTGCGGTAATGCTACTGGCGACCACCAGGGGGTCAAGGTTGAGGGTTGGCCATGATTGCGTGAACTGATACGGGCGAAAGAGTAGTGGCAGACCTCACCATTAGGAGACAAAACCATCCATAGTATACGCGAAGAGGGAAAAAAAAACATCTCACCAATGTTGTATTTACTAAGCTTTCTGTCAAGTCCAATCAATATTGTCAGTCTATCTTCTATGGTCTGTGCAGAAACTCCCACTGACCCGGTCTGTGCTGGGTGCAGCTCACTCAATTCAACGCTCTTGAGGATGTTTGAGACCATAAGTGCATGGCTCGCCGCCGAAGAGGAGGAGTGTTGTAAACTGGGAATGTCAGCCTTCTGGGTCAGGCCCTGAATGGCCATGTCGTATAATATGGAACAATGATGTTTGACGGGAAAAAGGAAAGAACGGCTCCTTGGGCAAGCGTCATCCATCTGGGTCAGCCGTGAGCTGAATTAGTGAGAATACAGGAGATTACATGGTTAGTTATAAAACAAGAGTCACAGGACTTTCTGCTTTGAGCCCAAGGCTGTAGCCTGGTTCCGCAGCTCCTGTGGAGGTTTGGGAAAGAGCATCCTTTTCTCCCGATAGTAACGGGCCTCTTTTGTCGCCACCAATACGGCCTGCTGACGATATGGAGGGGCATCTGGGTTGATTACGCGGATTACTGGGCTCGCCATCTTCATTGACATACAAAACTGACAGTGACAGTAAACTCAGCAAGATCGTAACAGTGGCCAAGGGTCTCAGATAACTTCCACCAAATCCCAAGACAATGAATGATATACGAATAAAGTAATGAGCGAAAGTCGGGTCCAAATACGGGGCTAATGCGATTTTTTGCGAGGCTGCTAATGAGATTTTTTTTCAAGTGACGCAAGCGACTGTAAACAGTTACGCGTTCTGATTGGTCTAGAGTCTACAGTGACTGTATACTCTAGACCAAACAGAACGCGTAACTGTCTACAGTCGTTGCGCTACTGTAGACTCGACCTCTGCCAATTTCCCAAATGTGGAGATCTCGATTGCATAATTTCTGGTAGTGGGGGACTGCGTTCGTGCTCTCCCCTGATGTCTTGTTTAATGATCAACTGTTGCTTGAGATTGTTGTGCATTAACTGACCTTGTGCTGCGCTTATAATTGAAATCAGTTGTGAAAGTGACTTTGTGGAATATTATTAAACTAAAAGTGGTTACCGTCAGCCGAAAAGGTTGGCACTGGAAAGACCTGCCCTCCACCGACGTGTACAACTCATACTTACCTGGCAAGGGAGATACTGTGATCAATAAGGCGGTTCACCCAGGGCGAGGCTCAAGCCTTTGTGCTCTGGCTGTGCTGACTCATGCGAAGTTCCAAAATGTGGAAATCTTGATTGCATAATTTCTGAATGTGGGGGACTGCGTTCGCGCTCTCCCCTGATGTCTTGTTTTATGATAAACTGTTGCTTGAGGATGTTGTTTGTCAACTGACCTTGTGCCGCGCTTATGGATTTCTTCAAAATCAGTCGTGAAAGTGACTTTGTGGACAAATTTGACAAATAATCAAAAGATGGAAACATTTGTTTTAGCAAAGCATTGTTATCATTTTGTGGAAAAGTCATTTTGTGAAATGCAACAAGCTATATATGCCGCGCTGAAACTTCAATCAAGAGATAGTAGGGAATCTGCTCTGACCTCGCCACCCTGCCTTTTGAACTGGATTGACCATCTGCTTCTACCAGACTCTTATTATAGAAGTGTGAGCATCTATTGGGCACAACAGACGGTGTTGGCATAGATTGTTGACAATGCGTAAACTATATAAATACATTAGCACAATGAGCACTTGTCTCTCAAATACATTGTTACAGTTGTTGGTTTGCTAGCTAGATAATTTTAGCAATATTAGCATTGATATGAAATCCATCAAAACAAGACATGGTATCAGTAACAAGATTAAACTAGCTGAAATTAGTCATGATTCCCCACATCGCAGTTTCTTGTCATTGTTCCTAGCTTATCTATCCATCCAGAATCACAACACTGTTTCCGTGACATTGTCAGCTAACCCATCTATACTTCTCAGTTTACACACTGCCCCAACCCACCTTTCCCCAATACACTTGTAACATCATTTTTTATTCACTGTCTGGGTCTGTTGGAAATAAATTCAAAACATTTATAAAATGTTGACCCTCCTCTCCACAGGTTGGTAGGTAACACATTGTTATGTGTCGTGAAGCAGCCAGGTGGAGGTCAGGTGTGATGTCATAGCTAGGACACAAAAGTAATGGCTGGACTTGTGTCTTCAGGGAGCTCCTCTGGTAGTGAGGTCGCTGTTCGACTTTATACTGATTTCTTTAAGCTCCAATATCCTGTAGGGGCAGACATACACCCCCCCCCCACACACACACACACAAACATAAGTATTCCAAGAAAGCAGAGTATGATTGTCACAGTAAAGTTATAACATTAAACTGATGAATCACAACTGGGTTTGGGTTATGGAAACAGTGATGAATTAATGCAGTCCATGAAGTAGAGCAGGAGCTTCTGCTCTCACCAGCTGATGTGGTGTGCTGAGAGCTGAGGCTCCAGCCTGGAGCCCTCCTCTGCCACCAGAGACGTCTTCTGAAGATGGCCTCAAACTCTTTCTTCAGGACCGACATCGGCTGGAAGCCTTGGAATGAGCAGAGCACTTGCTGCAACACATGTATGTAAGATAAAGTTCCTAAATCACTGGCAAACGGTGTATGGGCAACTCTGGCCCTGAAGGGCAGGTTTTGTTCCAGACCAGCTTTAACATACCTGGTTCAAATAATTGTGGTTTAAATTGAAGACCATGCATGGGCTCAATTAATTCCATAGCGCTGAAGAGCCAAACTACAGCACAACAGAAATTTAAAGGCAATGTTCCCGCGTTCACGGAGACTGCATTCACTGTAAACGCTGCATATGTCGGCTCAATCGGAAATCATCTTTACATTTAAATCGCACTACAGTGCGGATCTTCAGCGCTACGGATTGAATCGAGCCCCATGATTAGTTGAATCAGGTGTGTCAGTGCTTGGTCTGTTAGGGCTCCCAAACCCCTTATTGGGACAAGTATTGCTGAGTGGCGTGGACCATCCTGTTTAAATAAAGATGAACTGAACTGACCCCTTAACCCATCAATAGGGGAATCTCCACTGGGCTGTTCTAACCCCTGACCCTACCGTCCATTGAGGGTTTCTCCAGCATGTCTACTGGGCTGCCCTGGATGAGGAACATACCCAGCATGTCCAGATAGTCCTGGGAAAACCAGACATCTTTCACAACATTGAAAAATCACATTAATGAAAAAATTGAACATCTCCTAAAAATACTTGAGAATATACATAGGTCAACAGATGTGACATTGTTATTATATGTGCTAAACAGGAGGTTGGTGGCATCTTAAGTGGTTCTCCCCTCAGCAGCTTCCTGTGATGTATTAGTACTTCCAGCTGTGGGATAGGTTCTGGCAGGTGCTCTATGTACTGGATAATAATCTCTGCCCCTGGATAAATAAAAAGGGACATTAGACACAGGTCTATGGTAGTCACAGTGAGAAGAGCTGTGGACAGGTGTCTTTTATACAGGTAACAAGCTGAGATTAGGAGCACTCCCTTTAAAAGTGTGCTCCTAATCTCAGCTCGTTACCTGTATAAAAGACACCTGGGAGCCAGAAATCTTTCTGATTGAGAGAGGGTCAAATACTTATTTCCGTCATTAAAATGCAAATCAATTTATAACATTTTTGACATGCATTTTTCTGGATTTTGTTGTTGTTATTCTGTCTCTCACTGTTCAAATAAACCTACCATTAAAACTATAGACTGATCATGTCTTTGTCAGTGGGCAAACGTACAAAATCTTATATTATATTTTTGTTCAGTACATATATATAACGCCCATTTTCGATCCAGCAGCTTTCAGTCTCATTGTGAATCACCACAGAGAATGGACTTAAAAATAAAAATAAAAAAAATACACAAATTGACAAAACCAAATCATTTTTTAAATTGGTTTATTAAATAGTAATCAAAGACAGACTGGATCTTCATTCAGGACTCAAAAGCAGTCATAATACAATACAGCTGGCTTATAAAGTTTGTCACAGTTTTACAGTGTTCAAAGTGACCCGTTTGAACTAGGAAGGGACTAGGTTTGACATCAAGGGAATAAGACATTTAAATAGTGTACTAAGATAGAATACAGCCCCAGTACCACAACAGTATTGATATCTTGCGTTATAAAAAAAGAACGAATGTGAATTCACGCTCTAGCAAAAGTCCTACTCATCCAACTGGCTTATTATCCTTTTCAATGCTGAAATATACAACAATGTGCATCTTTAGGTAAACACCTATATTCTTAATTTGTGAATCCTTTGATAAGAAGTGCATCTGGAGGAAAAAAATAAAAATATTTTTGAAGTTCTTCTTACAATGAATACTTGTCTCTCTTTCAAGATACACTCACACCTGCAGTTGTTCCTTTATTTGGGTCATTAATGTGTTCTTTATCAAGAATAAAAACTGATGGTTCTGCATAATTCTGCTCCCTTTTTTGACAAAATAACTAACTGTACATCAGTTTTAGGTCAGTTGGCTGAGGCAGAGAGGAGATATGTTGCATTAGGAAATCCAGTGGGCACACGTCATCTCCTGTTCATGAGACTCCAGAAAGGAACCTTTCCCTGTTCCAGAATGGAACCGTATTGAGTCGTGTTCCGGTTCTGGTTCCGTTTCCGTTTCCGGCTAGGGAGGTGCGGTTGCTACTGGCGACCACCAGGGGGCAGGTTGAGGTTGGCCATGAGCTCGTGAACTGAGGCAAAGATAGTGCACTCACCTGAGGAGACAAAAACATCAATATAATACGAAGAAAAAAAAAACATCTAAACCAATGTTGTATTTCTAGCTTTTCTGTCAGAGTCCCAATCAAATATTTCAGTCTATCTTCTATTTCTGTGTGCAGAAAATCCCACTGACCCTGTCGTGCTGGGTGCAGCTCGCTGAACCTCTTGAGGATGTTGGAGACCATAAGTGCTGCTGCCCCAGAGGAGGAGTGTTGTCTGGGGATGTCAGCCTGCTGGGTCAGGCCTGTGGCCATGTCGTATACGATGGGAACAATGATGTTGACCGGCTCCTGGGGCAGCGTCAGCCTCTGGGTCAGCTGGAGCTGAAGGGGAGAATACAGGGAGAGTACAGGGTTAGTTATGTCACAACTTCAGTGCACTTCAATGGAATTGTAAGATAGGTTGTGACACCTACATTTTTAAAATTTTTTAGTCATTTAGCAAACGCTCTTATCCAGAGCGACTTACATGAGCAATTAGGGTTAAGTGCCTTGCTCAAAGGCACAGACAGATTTTTCACCTAGTCGGCTCGGGATTAGAACCAGCGACCTTTCGGTTACTGGCACAACGCTCTTAACCACTAAGCTACCTGCCGCCCTACCTAACTGATATGCAGCTATGACAACTGACTAAACTACATTACAGGGGAAGGATGAAAGCCAGCAAACAGAGACTGACTCCGACTAAGGGACAACAGGTGAGTGGACACTTTGGCCAATCAACTGCTTTAATTAATTAATAAAACTAGCAAGCAGGGGAAAACCAGTACTTACGAAGAAGAGCATTTTGGACTTGAGCACCACAGCGATGGTTCCTGGGGGTGCAATGGGAGGGGCGCTGGGGGGGATGGTCAGACAGAACTGGACATTCCACTTTAACTGGGTGGCCTGGTCAGGGAACTTGAGAGAGAGGACAGAAGTTAGAGAGCTACACAATCATTACACATATATCTCTCTCTCTCTCTCTCTCTCTCACACACACACAGCCAGAGGAAAAGGACCTCACCAGTTCAAGCTTCATGATGCGGACACAGTCCCTGAGGATGTTGGTAGGGGCCCCCAGCAGCTTGGTGAAGGCATTCAGCGTGTTGTACTTGAATGGTGGGCCAGCCACCTGGAGAGAGGAGGAGGGAGGGGGGAGGATAAAGGGACAGGGAGAGAAAAAGGACGTGGGGAGGAAAGAGTGAGTCATTTAACTTTTCAGGCAGAGCCTAACAGTACACAACACACACATACAGCTCTAGGAAAAATTAAGAGACCACTGCAAAAATTATCTGGTTTTACTATTTATTAGGTATGTGTTTGGGTGAAATTAACATTTTTGTTTTATTCTATAAACTACTGACAACATTTCTTCCAAATTCCAAATAAAAAATATTGTAATGACAACTGGTCAAAATAACAAAAAATATGCATCGTTGTCAGACCTCAAATAATGCAAAGAAAATAAGTTCATGTTCATTTTTAAACAACACAATACTAATGTTTTAACTCAGGAAGAGTTCAGAAATCAATATTTGGTGGAATAACCCTGATTTTCAATCACAGCTTTCATGCGTCTTGGCATGCTCTCCACCAGTCTTTCACAATGATGTTGGGTGACTTTATGCCACTCCTGGCGCAAAAGTTCAAGCAGCTCGGCTTTGTTTGATGGCTTGTGACCATCCATCTTCCTCTTGATCACATTCCAGAAGTTTTCAAATGGGGTTCAGGTCTGGAGATTGGGCTGGCCATGACAGGGTCTTGATCTGGTGGTCCTCCATCCACACCTTGAATGACCTGGCTGTGACTCGCATTGTCCTGCTGGAAAAACTAATCCTCAGAGTTGGGGAACAATGTCAGAGCAAAAGGAAGCAAGTGTCCTTCCAGGACAACCTTGTACGTGGCTTGATTCATGCGTCCTTCACAAAGACAAATCTGCCCGATTCCAGCCTTGCTGAAGCACCCCCAGATCATCACCAATCCTCTACCAAATTTCACAGTGGGTGCGAGACACTGTGGCTTGTAGGCCTCTCCAGGTCTCCATCTAACCATTAGACGACCAGGTGTTGCGCAAAGCTGAAAATTGGACTCATCAGAGAAGATTACCTTACTCCAGTCCTCTACAGTCCAATCCTTATGGTCTTTTGCAAACCTCAGCCTGGCTCTTCTTTGCTTCTCATTGACGAAGGGCTTTTTCTAGCTTTGCACGACTCCAGCCCTGCTTCTAGGAGCCTGTTTCGAACCGTCCTCGCCGTGCACTTCACCCCAGCTGCCGTTTGCCATTCTTTTTGTAGGTCACTCGATGTCATCCTACGGTTGTTGAGTGACATTCGAATGAGTTGGCGGTCATCCCGGTCAGTAGAGAGTCGTTTTCGCCCTCTGCCGGTCTGTAGCTTTGTTGTCCCCAATGTCTGCTGCTTGACCTTGTTCTTATGAACCGCTGTCTTTTACATTTTAAGGATGGAAGCAACCTGACGCTCACTGTATCCCTCTGCCAGTAAAGCCAGAATTGAACCCTTCTTTTCCTCAATCAAAACTTTCCTTTTCAACTCTTTTGGCATGGTCAATAGTTATTTTTTGATTAATATTACTTTTGAGGTACTATTAGCACTGTTTTTGCCATCCTGCTGGTCCTATTGCAAGAGGATAGTGATGACCACAGCAGTGGTTTTTATACTTTTCCTCGTTAAATAACATTTGGTTCAGGCGATCACCTAATCAGTACCTAATTCAGTAGAATGAGGTGTGCCTGTGTTGGAATTCAACAGACACTGGAATGGAATGGCTGTCATACATGTAGATATGCTGATTTAAGAAACATTTGCAGTGGTCTCTTAATGTTTTCCAGAGCTGTATATTCCTGCACTTTATGAAGGTAGAGAGAGACCTCCAACCAATTAACAGGTTCAGCTTTCCCATAGCCTTTTCCAGCTTCAGATTCAAATGACCTGCTATGAGGTCAGTTCACCCAGCGTTACTCTTTATCAGAGTTCTTGGCTTTAGTTCCACGTTTTCCGTCAGAGACATAAAGTGCATTCGGAAAGTATTCAGACCCCTTGACTTTTTCCACATTTTGTTACGCTACAGCCTTATTCTAAAATGGATTAAATTGTTTTCCCCCCCCTCAATCTACACACAAACCTCCATAATGACAAAGCAAAAACAGGTTTTTAGATTGATTTTTGCAAAAAACTGAAATATGACATTTACATAAGTATTCAGAGCCTTTACTCAGTACTTTGTTGAAGCGATTACAGCCTTGAGTCTTCTTGGGTATGACACTACAAGCTTGGCACACCTGTATTTGGGGAGTTTCTCCCATTCTTCTAAAGCGCTGTCAGGTTGGATGGTTAGCGTCGCTGCACAGCTATTTTCAGGTCTCTCCAGAGATGTTAGATTGGGTTCAAGTCCGGGCTCTGGCTGGGACAATCAAGGACATTCAGAGACTTCTCCCGATGCCACTCCTGCATTGTCTTGGCTGTGTGCTTAGGGTCATTGTCCTGTTGGAAGGTGAACCTTCGCCCCAGTCTGAGGTCCTGAGCAGGTTTTCATCAAGGATCTCTCTGTACTTTGCTCCGTTCATCTTTCCTTTGATCCTGACTAGTCTCCCAGTCCCTACCGTTGAAAAACATCCCTACAGCATGATGCTGCCACCACCATGCTTCACCGTAGGGATGGTGCCAGGTTTCCTCCAGACGTGATGCTTGGCATTCAGGCCAAAGAGTTCAATCTTGGTTTCATCAGACCAGAGAATATCGTTTCTCATGGTCAGAGAGTCCTTTAGGTACCTTTTGGCAAACTCCAACCGGGCTGTCATGTGCCTTTTACTGGGGAGTGGCTTCCGTCTGGCCACTCTACCATAAAGGCCTGATTGGTGGAGTGCTGCAGAGATGGTTGTCCTTCTGGAAGGTTGTCCCATCTCCACAGAGGAACTCTGGAGCGCTGTCAGAGTGACCATCGGGTTCTTGGTCACCTCCCTGACCAAGGCCCTTCTCCCCCGATTGTTCAGTTTGGCCGGGCGGCCAGCTCAAACATCTTCCATTTAAGAACGATGGAGGCCACTGGGTTCTTGGGGACCTTCAATGTTGCAGACATTTTTTGGTACCCTTCCCCAGATCTGTGCCGACACCATCCTGTCTCGGAGCTCTACGGACAATTCCTTCGACCTCATGGCTTGGTTTTTGCTCTGACATGCACTGTCAACTGTGGGACAAATCATGTCCAATCAATTCAATTTACCACAGATGGACTCCAATAAAGTTGTAGAAACATCTCAAGGATGATCAATGGAAACAGGATGCACCTGAGCTCAATTTCAAGTCTCATAGCCAAGGGTCTAAATACTTACGTAAATACGTTTTTATTTTTTTATTTTTCGCTTTGTCATTATGGGGTATTGTGTGTAGATTAATCAGAAAAAGAAAAAAAAAGTAACATCCATTTTAGAATAAGGCTGTAACAAAATGTGGAAAAAGAAAAGGTGTCTGAATACTTTCCGAATGCACTGTATGTATGTATGTATGTACATATACAGTACCAGTCAAAAGTTTGGACACCTACTCATTCAAGGGTTTTTATTTATTTTTACTATTTTCTACATTGTAGAATAATAGTGAATACATCAAAACTATGAAATAACATATGGAATTATGTAGTAACCAATTTTGTTTTTAAACAAATCAAAATATATTTAACATTTTAGATTCTTCAAAGTAGCATAGATTCTTCAAGGGCATTTCTTAATGTTCTGCTTCAGATAGTGTTTCAGGTCGTCCTTCCAATGGCACATATTCGAAGTGGATGGCCCTTGATAATGTCTCTCACCTGAGCCACCACTGGGCGTATAGCTAAGATCCGTTTGGGTGCGACCGCAGCATGTGACACATCCCGTGGTTTTACTATCTGCTGGAAGTCAGCTGTATGGAAACTTGCAGGAAGGAGCACATTATAGTTTGAACTGTGACAAATGGAGTTAGATGGTTGAGCACTCGTGCGATCTTAATCTGTACAGACAAACCAATCGCCTTTTACACACTCTGTTCTGCCCCTTTTTCCACACATCTGCTAAACTGCCACGAAGACAAAGATGTTGTACTTTCTATAAAAGCAGAGAGCCAACTCTGTTCGTTGGGCTCTTAACTCTGCAGCATTGAGTGATTGTTAACGGCTCCATTTTTTGCAAATCTTATAATAAAGTTGTTGTTTTAAGAATCTACAGTCTCTCTTTAGAATTTCCACAACAATTTGGCGACGAGGATGGGATGGCTAACTCCGCCTGCTGATCGCTCCCGTGGAAACAGAGGTTAACCGTGCAGGGGGGCTACAGTAGACGTGGCTCAGGG